ACATATAATAACAATTATTTTATTTTTTCTTGTGGGATTTTTAATATTAAAGTTTGTGCTACAAAAGAACAGCCAAAAGTATTATTATGACTGGTTAATGCCTCTCTCCGACCCATCCCAAAAGCTGCGCCCACCCTGAACCAGTGAATGTGAGCTTATTTGAAAAAAGGATTTTTGCAGTTGTAATTGAATTAAGGATCTGGAGGTGAGATCATCCTGCATGAACCGAGTGGGGCTTAAATCTAGCGACATGTATTTCTATAAGGCACAGAGGAGGAAAAGACACACACAGAGGAGAAGCCATGTGAAGACAGAGACAGATTGGAGTGGTGCATTTACCAACCAAGGACCACCCTGGGATTCCTGACAGGCCCCTGGACGCTAGGAGAGAGGGAAGAAATGGATTTTCCCCTCAGAGCCTCCAGAAGGAATCTGTCCTGCCAACACCTTGATTTTGGACACTTCCATCTCCAGAACTGTGAGAAAGTGAATTTCTGTTGTTTTAAGCCACCAAATTTCTGGTAATTTTTTATGGCAACCCTTGGAAACTAATATACGTTTTGTTATTGCAAGCTCAAAAATCATAAATTGAGGGATCAAAACAGAACAGAAACCAACCTAGCTGTCACCAAATTATGAACAAAACATCAAACCAATCAAAAGCAACAGGTTTCTAGATCTGTAAAATAAACAGCAGCAGAGCTCATAACGACAAACCGTTAACAAGAGAACATAAAGCCAAGTAAGGCAAGCCAGCTGCTCACACAGAGCTGCTGAATGTGGCTGGACTCCTGGGACACCAGCTTTTTAAAGGGTGAGGTGCTAATTCCCTATTACAATTGTGTAATGACCAATTAAAGTCCACATGGTACGAAACCTATTCCCTGTTCAATCAATCAAGGTATATCCAATAGTCAGGGAAAGATTTGAGTGGTAGAAGAGATCCCTGCATTTATCCTACTGCTTTACTATGAAGCTTAAAAATGAAATAATGCAACTACTCCTAGCATGTTCACTGACACCTAAGAAGAGTTTAATGAATATTCTCTTTCCCCTTCATCACACAGTAGGTGTTTTTGTAAGCATTGGGGATGCAAATCTATTTCTCTCTTGAATTACCTTGTTCTTTTACACCACTGACCACTACGGTGTTTATAATCCAAGCTAGTCCTTCCATGCATCTTATAAGACGTAAGAATTTGTAATGACTGGGGGATGATTTTACGGTATGTGCAGGATTGATTTTTTTTAATTTTGTAAGTTAGCAGTAGTGTCTGTAACTACCATCTTCAGGGAATGGTGAGAATGGAACCCATGATAAGATGTAATTTAGCAGCCAGCAGTCAAAGGTTGTTCTCATATAATCCAGTCCATTCATTCAGCCAATCTTGCAGCCCTCTTAGCTAAACATTTGTGGTGTGTCCAGAACTTACAAACAGTGCAGGCGAAAGTCCTGGGGCACACGTGAGATAAGACGTGCGCAGCAATTAGTGAATGATTCTGAAATAATAGCAGCGGGGTTGTGTGACTTTGTGGAACAGACTAAGTGGCGATGCTAATGAAAGTTTTAAATCGAATTGGAAAGGCAGAGACAGGGAAACCTTTTTGGATGAGGGCTTTCAAATTGGTTCTTAAAGGAATATTACACAACAGGCTTTAACATGTGTTTGTAGCTCTGCTCATGGCACACTTCCTCCTATTTCTGGGCCTAAAACTACTGCATAGTTTCTAGTATGTAGTAAGTGCATGACAAATATGTACTGAATTAAAAAAAGAAAAGGGAAAAAAAACGAGTGAGTCATTGTTACCTCCTCCATGCCCTTCCGTCTAATCTTTCAGTACATAGTCAGTCACCTCCTGTGAAGCTTCACAGATGCCCTCCTGCCTCCAAGGGAGGAGTAGAAAGTGATCTACAAATCAAATCGTGTTGGGTTTGAGTTCCAAACGCCTCTGTCCTGTCCTGTCTATTCCTAGCTCTCTTTTACAGCTTTCTATCTTTTTGATACCTAAATCTCACCATGTCACCCCTCTTCCCCTCCCACTTCTTGCTTAAAAACTTTCAGTGGCTGCCCCTCTGTCCTCAGAATCTGGCATCTACCACCTTGTCCAGCTTCTGCTTTCTGGACTCCTCTGGGCCTTCATGCATAGTTAGAATGCTCTGCTTGGGATAGTCCTCTCTACCACATGCCCACCCCTACCCCACCCCGAGTATCAGTCTAACTCCTGTGCACCTTTCAAGTCTAGGCTTAAATGACACTTCCTTCTTGAGGCCTCCCCCTGCCTCCAGGTGGGTCCCGGACTATGAGGCTCACAGAGCACCTCACCCTTATTCCACTGTGGCCCACGCCATGGTTGAATGTAGTGATCTGCTTTATAATGGTTGTCTTTCCTACCTAGCCTGGCAGTGCTATGAGGGCAGTGACTGTGTCTGGTTCATAAATGTCTTCAGTACCTGGGCTAGTGAATATCTTTTGAATAAATTAATGAGATAAAACTTACTGGATGCATGACCCTGAGCTGGAAACCCTACCACTAAGATAAAAGCTGCCTCAGAGAGTGTTGTACACTCTAAAGCATCATATAAATGTCGACTTTTAAGGGCCTTCTGTGAGTAAGCCTCACTTTTCTTTTTACCTTATGTGCTGCTTCACCCATTAATGTCTAGTTGGCACCAAACTGGACTTGCCTGCTTTACCCTAAACCTTGTCCTATGTTTCTCATCTTTGTGCTATTGCTCATGCTGTTCTCTCTTCCTAGAATTTCCTTCCTCCCTTCTCCCCCTTTGGAAATTTTCTCTATCCCAGCCCCATGGAGTGTCCCTTGACTGTCATAGTCAAATTACCTCTCTCCTAAACTTTCCAGGCATTTTACGTGCACCTCTTCTAGAGCATTTGCCACTTTCAGCATTGTGTTATGGTTATTGACGTATGACTTCTAGCAGGCTCTAGAGTCAGCCTTCTGTGTTCATATCCCAGACCTACCTACTTACTAGCTATATAACCATGGACTAGTCAGCCCAAGTCTCAACTTTTTAATCTGTAAAGTGGGAATACTAGTAATACCCACCTCATAAGTTATTTGCGTGGGGGTCGCATTAAATGAGATTATGTAAGTAGATCGTTAACACAGTGCCACATGCATAATCAGTGACTATGTGCTTAACATAGTAACATTATCATCCTCAGCAGTCTCTTCTCCTTAATTAAACTCTGAGTTCCTTGGAGATGAAGATTATGTTTTTATAGGATTCCTCTATAGCACTTAGAGTAATGCCTGGCCCCATAGTTGGCACTCAGTAAATGTTTGTTGACTGCAAGCATAAATAGTATAGATAAATATAGACAAATAACGACTTTTTCTTTTGCTATGAAATGATGCAAGTTTACTGCATTTTTGGGCTTTTTAGTAACTGCTGTCCCTGTGGGTTTCCCCGAGCATGAACATTTTGAAATAATGGTAGTAGAATAGGCCCACTATGTTGCCATCAGTCTGGAATTTGGAAAATTACAAGCCGAATTAAAGAACAGTATTAGAATTATTTATTCTTTCTATGCCCCTTTATTGCATTCATTTTGGGAGAAATTATCTATTCTTGTTTAACAAGAAGATTACATTACATATT